AGAACCTGCACTCAAAGAGTTGGCTCAGTTACGGTGTCCTGGACACTACGATCAGCGTGCCCCTGGCGGGAAGCAGTGTTGCAAATGCGGCCGCACTATCTTCAACGGCGTGCAATCGATCGGCCTGCTGCTCCACAGAGTCATCAAGGCCGGCGTGGAGTTGCGCATCCACGACCATGGCCCAGACTTCCCCCCCACTAGGGATAGCCCTGTTGACGGCGACCTGGCGGGTAACGGGGGGGGGGGGCACAAGATTTGCCCCCCCCACCCTCGCCCAACACGGTTCGTGTCATCGACGTGGCCTTCGTTGACGACGAGTGTCTGCTGTTGCGCGCGAAGGCCCCGGCTACCTTATACCAGCATGTTGACATTCTTGTCGAGTCGTTGTGTGGTATGCTTGATTTGCTAGGATTTGCGATCAGTTGTAAACTTGGTCAAACGAAGTCCAGCGTCATCTACAAGGGCCGCAACGCAGCCTCCCACTACACCTACACTGCTAGGAGGGCTGGTCCCCATGGCGCTCTCCAGGTAAACGTGCCTAGCTCCACCGACCACACGTCACTGTTGTACCCTAGAGCAAGCGCTTCGCTGGCGTGACGGAGGCGGGCAGCAACAATGTCCACCAATCCCCGCCTCAGGCCGCGTCACCCGGTGAGGCCTGCAGCCCGCTGGCCGTGCGCATGCCCACTGTCGCGTGTTTTTCTTGCGGCCCTGCGCATTCTGAGCGCCGCGTACATGTGGTGCCTCCGTCGCTTCGCTGGCGAATGTAGGTTCGGCTCAAGCGTGGCCGACACTGATGTGCGCCAGGTTCTAGAGGCTTCGTCCGTGGACTGTGCCCTGGCGCGCAAACGGCTGGCATACCTCGGTCGAGTGGTTCTGCGCGGTCCTCCAGAGCTGCGCGCCCTCCGCGCTCGACGCGCTGACCATCCGCCCCACTCTGGTTTTCATAACTCGTGAACGACCTACAGCGTGTTTGGCGCATGGCCGCCCATGGTCTGCAGTCCCAGATCATGATAACGAAGGACTTCGGGCTCTGACTGCAACCAATCGTTTGCGCACCAGCGCGGTGGTCGCAGGCTGACATGTGCACCCAATTTGTGGATTCGGCATGCCACCTAGAGGCAGGCGCCGTTCCTTCGCGCGACGCTTCGATTACAGCCCACCACTGCTCTATGTGCCATTCTTCCTTTGCTTCTTCCCAGTTTCTGAAGTCCCACGTGCAGACGAAGCGCGGTGTAAAGGCTCAGCGCATATTTGGCCTGCGCGACGGCGCCCGCCAAGTCTGCAGACCCAAATTCCTGTTGAGTCTCCGCCTGCAGGCCTTACGAAGTGTTAGGGCACCATGCGTTCCGCCCTCCCTTCTTTAAGCGCGCTCCCGTCTGCTCAGTGTACAGAGCTTGGTTCGGCAGTCAATGTGCAGAGGCGTGATGCTCGTCGTGCCCGCCGTTCCGATGCACTTGCTGTGGGCGGAGCCTACACCGTGTCTGGTCGAGCGCGTGGGTGCGCCAGGAGGTGGCAGTCTTCCCAGCGCTCCATCGCTTACGCGCGGCTTCGTCATAGACTACGCATTGATATTTCATGTGTGTTCGGCGGAAGTGGTCCGAACTTTGAGGAATAACGAGCACGCGCGCGCTCATTTGTTTGTTCTCTCTCTCTCTCTCTCTCTACGTATGGTTGTGTGTATGTATATATATGTATATTTGTGTATATGTGTATATATATGTATATATGGTCGCCCCCTTATGATCATACCTATTCGTCTCTCGCGCGGCCGCCGATCGATATCTTCGCTCTCCGTTTCCTTCTCCTGTCCCTCCCTGCCTCTCCTCCTCTTCCTCCTCCTCCTCCTCCTCCTCCTCCTCCTGCTCCTCCCGATCGGAATCTTCGAAATAGCCAACACCAAAGAAAACCTGCAAAAAGCCCCAAAAACGAAACAAACAGAAAAACCCAAAACCAACAAAACATGATTTCGGGAGAACTTCTGGGGAGGGGGCCGGCCAAGGTTCTCCCACGAGGCGCCCACGTGCGGGCACGTGGCGAAACCCCGGCTCGCCCAGCGCGGGGAAGGGGGCGGCGCCCACCGGGAGCCCGGGGCTGCGCACGTGGCGAAGCCCCGCCCCACCCAGCAAATCATTCAGAACAAAAATGCAAGCGATCGTGCCCGACGCTCTGGACGTGCGCGCGCCCGCGCTGCCTCGGGAGCCAGACGCACCTTCGGGCGGCCGGGACACGGACCAAGTCGTTCCAGAGCGCGCTCTCAGAGCGTGCCCCAGTGCTGTGGAAAGGCCGCGGCGCCCGATGCATCCTCCAGAACCGCGGGATCCCAGATATCCCCGAGTTGTCGTCGCACTCCTGTCGGCTCCTTTCGGCGTAGTCGATCGGTCGATCGTGCCCGGCTCTGTCCTGCCTTCCCTGTTTGCGGTCGCGGGCGCGCGTACCGCTGAGCACTGGCGGTCGCCGCCACTGCCGATCGTTCTGGGATCCTGCCTTCTTTTTCGGTACAGGGCCGCTAAAGGACGGGTTCGACAGACGCTTCGACGGGGAC